CAGTTTCCCCGCAAAAAAACCCGGGGGAAAAAACCAAAACGCACATCCTTCCGCACATGTACCCGCCGCCTTCAAAGGGGGGGGTACCCCCCGAAAGGCACTCGGACACCCGGAAGTCTGGGCCCTGGGCGGTCGCCCAGCCGACAGCGCCGTCCGACAAGGCTTTGCACCGCAGGCGGGTGAGGCCGGACCTGAGGCTCACCGAGGTCCAGGCTTTGCCACGGCCCAAAAGGTTCCAGGAGCTTCTTGGCGCGCTTTTCCCCGGCGGAATGCTCCAAATGGCAAATCCCCAGATCCGTGTCAAACCGAGGAGCCGTTGGCGCGTTCTTTTTCTCTGCAAAATTTCAAGTTCCAAACGCAAATCCCAGACAATCCCCCGTACTTCCCAGTTCCCTTGGTTACCTGTCCAGGCAAATTTGGATCCAGGAAATGCAACTGAAAACCCATGGGTGCGTCTCAATGGAAACCTTCGGAATGCGTTTTTGCCCGTTTGGCTTGTGTTGTTTAGACGAAGCCTGAAAGTACCCTCACTCAGTTGCTTTCTGCTCCCCTGCTGAAAGTATAACTTTTAGTTGGTTAATGGAAAACCCATTAGTTGGCAAAACGTTAAAGTCCTAACATCCAAGCAAAATGCAACAAAGCTCAGCACACACACACACACACACACCCACCCACCCACCCACCCACCCACCCACCCACCCACCCACCCACCCACCCACCCACCCACCCACCCACCCACCCACCCACCCACCCACGCACGCACGCACGCACGCACGCACGCACGCACGCACGCACGCACGCACGCACGCACGCACGCACCCACACACACACATCATACAGAACATAAGGAGTGATGATGTTGATTCCATGTTTGGGCGGAGAGCCCATCTCCGCAAATAGATGCACTGCACAACAGGGGTACCACGCGCCCGGAAAACACTCGAATTGAACAAAACGTGCTTCAGAAAGGCTAAGCAGCAGTTCTCGCTGCTATGGAAAAAAGGAGCGACAGAAGTTAGCATATTTCCCGCATATCCATACAGCTCCTGAACCGCTCCCTCTTTAAAAGCAAAGCTCCTTGGCCCAGCTAGAGTTTGGCCTCGCAAATGGTCAGGAGCAAATATCGCTGAAAAGTACCATAGAGGGCACAGTTTCTCCTCCATATGTGTCCGCCAAACCAACCAAAAGGGTCACCTATGCTCTGCTCCTTACTTGAAAGCCGGCGTGACTGCTTGAATACACTCGGCAGGACTCAGACCTTTTTTGCACAGCTGTTGCATCCCGACGAAAGAAAGTACGTACAATGTGCTATTCTGACCTACTGTGGATGGACAAAATCCCGCACCACTGTGAAACCATGGGAAAGAAACCATGGGAAACCATTGCGTCGGTATTTACAGGTGAATCATCGTTCCAGGGTTTCTTAGGTGGTGCAGGATTTCGTCCGTCCACCGTGTGAACTAAATCTCAACTGGAAAGATAATCGCAAAAGAGATCCTGGGTCACTGGCAAAATGGGTCACATCCAGCAAGTTACAAAATAGATCCCTACAAGTGGCAAAACAGAAACAGGTGGACATGGACATCCACCAAGCGATGCTTCGGGGCACAAAGGGACATCCACCAACCCACAAATGAAACGGGCCGAGCCAAATTTCTTCCATTTCTTTTTTGGCCCCTTGGGGAGAGAAAGAAACATCAGCAGTGAAATCGATTCCCTTTAAAACCCACCGCAGATAATCGAAAAACGTATTCTTCTTTCAGCAAATTTAGCTCCGATGCGCTCCCTGGCTCCCTTCCAACCAGCCAGACCCCCAAACCACCTGCACATGGAAGTAAAAACGCAAATGCTTTTGGCACAAACAACATCAAATCCATCTAAACCCGGTAGAACCCCATGGGATTTCTCACCCAGCTCAGGCACCAGCCAATTTGGACATGTCTCTCCTTCCCCCGGCTCTTCTAATTCGCGCCTAGCGTTTGAAATTCTGGGCCTATCCCTGCACCTGTGGCTGGGGCTGCGGACTCCTCGTGCTTCTTCATCCAAGATCTGGCCTCCACGAGCTCGCCCACCTTCAGCTTCCGGTCCGTGTCCTCTTTCGCGTCGCGCCGCATTTCGCATTTCGCGCGCAGAAACGCAGACGCCGGTTCTTTCGCCCAGACGCCGGTTCTTTGGCTCCGAAAACGGGGAAGCGGTGGAACAAAAGAAAAAAAATAAGAAAGCGCCGGAAGTCGAAGGGATGTCCATGGGATTGGTGCGAGTACAAAGAAACATGATTTTGAAGAGTCCGAGAATTCGATTTCTGAAATCCCCCAAAAAATCGTATCCCAGGTTTTTTGTAGCAATTTGGCCTCCCGGGTCCACGGGTTGGGGTTATAAAAAATTCCACCGGTCGCCACCAAAAAAGAAAGAACACAAAAAGCAATTTGTTTAAACAATGACAATGCTGGTGTACTTTCCAAACCCGAAGGGTATGGTAGCAAAAGACGGACTGCTTCTTGCGTTCTTGCAGGCCCGCACTTAAAAATGAATAGAACAAAAAAAACGTGCCAACAATAGGCAAGCTCATTAGGAATGCGCAGCGCCCCCCTTTTTCAGCCGCCGCATCCACGCGAGGGGCATCGATTCCGCGGAAAGCGTCGCTGGCGCCTGGCGAGCGAGCGAGCAGCTTGGGATGTCGATCCTTTCTTGGTTGACGTTGGAAGGGGAGCAACAAATATTTTATTTATAGCAGTTAAGTGGTTGGATTTCAACCACTAAACCAGAACCAGCAAACATGTTTCAATTGTTTCCCAACAACCATGGCTTTCCCATTGGTTTGGATTCGGTGTGCCGAATAAGAACGGCGCGGCGAATCCTCCAACCACACATGCAAAGCGATGAGGGTCAGCCCGTGGGCGTGCCCGCTGGTTTCATTGGTTGCTTTCAGCAAATCAAGATTCCCTGAGTGGTTCAGCGCTTCCCCAGGGCAACCAAAGGAGAAACAAACAAAAAGCCAAAAACCCCCCTCCAGTTTGAGGAGCCAACTTCGCCGGCTGTTGCCCCAGCATTTTTGTTGGGGGGGGAAGCGTGAAAACATCAAGAGCACTCCGTGACCACGTGTTCTTTTGGGAGCCTGTCCTTTTCCCATCGAAACAAGCCCGATCTGTGGCCAGCATGTCAGTTCCCAAGCCTGTGCATGGCCGGGTCCCCAAACGAAGCAGGAGTGAATTCCCTTGTGCGAGAATTGTCCAGGGTTGGGCACGGGCATTGGTTAAACTGTTCAAACGCTGTCGCACTTCAAACGGTGTTTAAACCAACATGCGCCTAAATAAAAATAACATATATGTCCAGTAGTGATGGATTCGCTTTAAGACCAACAAGAGAAAGCAAGATAACAAATATCCATTTCAGCAAATGGAAGCTAACCAAAACCCCCCGTTCAACAACCCACACGCCCAACCCACACGCGTCTGAACGTCTTAGCTCCAGCCTTGTTCATGTCTGATGGTAGATTGGCAGGCACGCCAATGGCCTGGATCGAAAGGATCAGGCAGAGGTAGCCGCCTGAGGTCGAGTTAGATGCGTCGCGTCTTTTTGCAGGTACCCCTTCTTGTGATAAAGTGTCTGGTCAAAAAAAGAAGAAAAAGGAACACCCAAGGACAACCACATGTTGCTCTCTCGTTCTGTCTTTTATTTATTATTATTTTTCCCCAACAGCTGGAAGCTTTGGGGTCTCAGCCCAGATAGGCTGCGGGGTGGTCCGGGGCGGCCCTGAGGTAAGGTTCCACGAGGGTTCCACCAGGGTTCCACGAGGGTTCCACGAGGTTCTGCGAGGGATGCGGCGAGCACTAACAAGAGCACCGCTTGCTGTTGGGGATATCACCAGAGCTTATTCTTCATTTTTATTTTGGGAGGGGGGGTAGAAGGAAATTATTGTCTTCTTCTTCTTCTTCTTCTTCTTCTTCTTCTTCTTCTTTGTTGGGGGGGGAGAAGGTAGACACACCCCATTTTTCCACGTGAGCTGAGCTTCCAAGGCCTCGGCCTGCCCGAGCTCGGTCGGAGGCCTGAGAGGGGGGCCGACGGCTGCGGAGAGGCGCCGGCTGCCCAGTTCTCATCCAAAGCTCTTGTAGGCTTTTCAAATGTAGGCGATGTTTTGTTGTTGGTAGTCTTTTTCTGGGTGTCTGAAACGCCTTCTCATCGTTTAGGCGATTTTGTGGCATGTGGCTGCTAGTCTTTAGGTTATGTTTATGATTTGCTGTGCTAGTTTTTGCATTTGCGAATTAGTTGTGTAATCAATTCGCATAGTTCTTGCGATGTTGTTTTTGGTAGGTTTTCCGTGGAAATGTCTGTTCCCGTTGCCCCTTTGGTTTAAACAACACATCTCATAGTGCTGTACATGTTCAAGAGGGGTAGATCCAGAAAAGCCACGTCCAAGCCGTTTTTTAGACACATGTTTCTGTCAAACCCAGCCCCCTGAGACCCAGGTTAAAGGTGATCACCTTTTGGGCTGCCACTAAAAATGGGGACCAAATCAGGGAAACCAAAGCTTGAGAGGTCGATTCGCTTTGGGACAGTGCGTAAATCGGAAAGGACAGAACACCCAAAGTGCCTTCATTCAGAAGGACCCATGCAGTGACTGAGGGCTTTTGAAGAAAGAGGCATTAAACAAACGTTGAGGTTAAAAAAAGGAAGCGCAACAGGGCCGTTTTCTGGCAACATGGTTTTGTCCTGAGTTTGGCCATGGTATCAAGCCTGCGTGCGCCACAGGAGGCGTTGGGCGGCCTAGCGGCCTGGCGCTGCCCTCCTGCCCGTGCGGAATTTGGATCCGTGGGGGGCTGGGAAACCCCCCGATTAACCACCAGCTAGGGGTTTCCTGACCCCACCCTTTACCCCCACCCCCCCCCAAAAAAGACAACAACTAGTCCTCCCACCAGGACCCCCCCCAAAAAAAAAAGTCCTCCCCCCAGGACCTGGAGAACTCCACCTCCATCCAGCGCCGGATCCGCTGGATCCGCTTCTCATCGGCTGAGGTGGCCCTCAGCGAAGGCTCGGGCCAAGCGCCGGCTGATGGGCGGCAGATCCAGCGCCATGGTGCCCATGTAGGTCAGCTCCCCGATGCGGCAGCCCCACCTCCAAGTCAAGGGCAGAGCAGGCTGTTTATCGCTGGACGACATATATGTGCATATATATATGCATGAATCTATATATATATATATGTATTTATATATACATATGTATATATACATATATGTGTATACATATGTATAAATATATATGTGTATATATACATGTATATATATATATATGTATCAACTATGCAAATAGAAGAGGTCCAACAAAGGGCAGACGGGGGTTTCTCGCTGGACAACAAAAACGAATCAGCATCCGAGGTGTCTGGTTGGTTGACTCTAATGGGGAACCCACCCTTCCCAAAAAAAGAAACAAGGGCACCACTGGGCAACTGGGTAGAAAATATATATATATATACATATGTGTGTGTATAGATTATACAAATAGATGAAGTTCGAAAAACCCGTGGGACCGATCTAAAAACTTGAAGGACAAAATCCACCAGCGGTATTTTCAAATACAACGACTGACAAACGTGCACGTCTTCTTACAGGCCAGGGTGAACTTTAGTGGGACCCATCCACAACTTATTTTCACAAAAGCACGCTTCCATCAACAAATATATTCTTTCAAAACAGGCCAGGATTCCTGGCGCCCAACCAGAAACGGATTTTAAAAAAACAATTGCAGCCAAACAACGGAACCATCCAAAAAATGGAAGAACAAGCAAAAACACGGGGACCCTCCAGACCTCTCCGTCCGAAGAACGAACCCTGGAATGATGATTCCTCTGTAAAGGCCGACAAACAATGGTTCGCATGGTTGCCAAGTGGTGTAGGATTTCGCCTATCCACAGTAGCAATCAAGATTTCTCCGCCCGCCCGCGCCTGGGGTCCCCCAGCAGCCAGTCCACCCTGAGCTCGTCCAGGCCCGCCCGCCGCGCCAGGAGCTCCGAGTCCTCTCGGCGGCCCGAAAGAGGGGCTCCCCGAAAGAGCTGCCGGAGATAGACGCAGGCATGTGTGTGTGTGTGTTGTGTTTTTGTTGAGGTGTGCCGTTTGAATTGTTGAGGTGTGCCGTTTTTTTTGCTGAGGTGTGTGGTTTTTGTTGAGGTGTGTATGGTGTTTTTGTTGAGGTGAGCGGTTTTTGTTGAGGTGTGCTGTTTTTGTTGTTCGTTTTTGTTGAGGTGTGCCGTTTTTGCCGAGGCGTTCCGTTTTGCGTGGGTGTGTGAAAGGAAGCCTGAAAGGGTGTGCCGGTTTTTGTTTGAGGGTGCCCGTTTTTGGGCGGTCTTTAAAAGGAAACCTTTCAAGTGGCCCGGATATAGGGGTGTGTCCTTTTGTGGAGGGCTTTGTTTGTTCCCTTGTCTGGTGGTTTTCAAAGGAAGCTCGTTTATGATGCAGCCACAACTCATAGCCAACGAACTCATAGACTAGAGCATAGGCTAGCGGTCCTTTTGGGAAAACAAATGGCCTTATAGATTATGAAGCAACTGGGTCACCAAAACAACCAAAAAGGACCCCTATGGACAAGAGCTTTATTCCAGAGTTTATATACCAGCTCCCTGATAGAAAAGAGGGGGCCTCTTTTTGGGATACTCCATGCTTGCAGCAGGGGAGGCAACCAGGTTCAAGGTTCCTGCCAAATTGACTATAGAATGTCCTACATGACACCCTTCAAAAAGGAGCTTCCCAAGCATATCCGTGAGAGGACTGTCTGATCCTTGTTCTGTTTTTGGTTTTAAACACTTACAGTTTCTTATCGTCTAACTCCTTGAAAACACAAGCCACATGTCTTGTTCCGCCCTTCAGGGAAAAAACATCTTTCGTCTGAGTGTCATAACTCCAACCCCCCCACAAAAAGAAAGGAACACCATCTCTGGCTGCAGGTCCTCTGGCCCTTCTAGGTCCCCTCCCAACCCCAAAAAAGTGGGTGAGAAGGGAACCCAAAAACCCATAAAAAGGCAAACAAAGGGGCACCTAGCTAGAACCCAAAAAAACCAAAAAAGGGCAAAGAAAGGGGCACCAATTGCTGGGAAACCTGGTGACCTGGCCTTTCTTCGCCCGCGGTTCCTCGCGGAGCTGCCGCCAGTGCTCTTGCAAGACCTCCTGCAGCCGCTGCAGCACCGGCGCCGGCAGCTCCTAGGGGCCCCTGATTGGTCAGATTTCTATTAACTGGAAACTTTTGGGACACCAAAAAACGAGATGCTTTGGCCTAGAGGAAAACAAAGGGGAAACCAAAAAAGCGAGAAACATCGGAAAAGGGGAGCGAATTCTGGGGAAGAGACCTGGGCAAATACAGCTAAGCCTTGGTCTGGTGAAACTGGGAGGGCACGGAGAGGAACAGTTTATCATTTTTGGGGGTTCAACCTTAAACAGATAGACCCGATTTTACATCGTACCTCCAATATGTTTGGACTGTTTCGCCGTCAGCGAACCCAAGTCATGATGTTTCTGATCAAGGAATAGGAAAACAAAGAAACGGAGCTTATGGCACAAATAGTTTCGGAGGGCGTGGGTTTTGGACGACCCAACATTGAGAGTATGACAAACGACCATGTCCCAAACCAGAACTCCCATCGGCAGCTCCTTGGCTTCATGTCTTCACAAGCAAATTTGGATGCCCCCCGGCTCCTGAAAAGCTCTTCTTTCAAGAAGACCCCAGACTTAAAGGTAAGTGGGTAATGACCATGGTTATATGATGTAAGCCTAAGAGGGTTGAAGTTGTGGTTCTTACCCACTTACCACCTTCCCACCAATTGACATGGAACCTGACACGGGGATGCAAGACCATTTTGCTAAAGGGACCCCTGTCAGGTTCCATGCTAATTCATTGGTGGGAGGGCAAGTACCCTTGATCTTCCAGGACCCTGGAAAAGCAGGCCTTTGGCCGAATTTCCATTTGGAGCCAAGATCAAATTCAAGAAGGACCCTGGTTTTGCGGGTCCTTGGAAGACGAAGCTATTCTGTCCCTGTAAGAATCTTGCTCGGTTGCTTTCTGCTCCCCTGCTAAAAGTTTAACTTCTAGTGGTCTAATGGAAAAACCCATTAGTTCCTTAGTTGGATCAAAAAGTTATTCAGTCCTCAGATCCCTTGGCAAAATGCACCAAAGGTTCCATGCTAATTCATTGCTGGGAGGGTAAGCCGGGGAACCTTCTTTTTTTGTCACCCTTCAGACCCTTCTTTTCAACCCTCTGTTTTTTCAACCCTTCACCCTTTCTATTTGCCCCTCCCCCCGTCTTTTTTAACCCTTCCCCCTTCTCTTTCAACCCTCCCCCCCTTCTTTCTGACCCTCCACCTCTTCCTTTTAACCCTCCATTTCTTCTTTGCCGACCAGGGTTTGAGGGTTGAACAAAAAAGGAAGGGTTAACAAAAACAAGCTCGGGGGGTAGAACAAAAAAGGGAGCCCGGGCAAGCCCTTAAAATCTTCCCCTTAAAACTCCAAGCCCTGGGGAAGTTAATCTGTTACAGACATATAGCCCATGTTACCCAAGAAGTTGAGAAAAAAATGTGTTTTTTAAGAGGTAGGAAAGGTTCCATGCTACTTCATTGCTGGGAGGGGGCTTACCCCCCGGTCCCAAGACCCCTCCCCGCTCCCCGCCTCCCACAGCCCGTGGTTGCGCTTCAGAAGGCCCGAACACTCCTCGGGGCGCCAGCGGATCAGCGCGCCGCTGCGCAGCACCCAGAGGTACATGGGGTGGGTGTTGAGGCACCCACCCACCACCTCACCGAACAAGACCTGGCCAAGAAGGAGAGCTGTTGGGTCCTAGGTGATTGTTTTTTTGTCCATCTCCGTTCTTTCCAGGGATCCGCATCTTTTCAGGAAACCATCAAAAACCCAGAGGTCCAAAAGGATTGATGTAGGATTGCGGGGCACTGTTAAGCCAAACCGCGTCATGGAACGGGTAATGTGTGCAATTGCTTGAGATAGACTCGTGCAAATGGCTAAGCAAGCTTCACGGGCAAAGCGCACGTTTTACTCCAAGCTGGTTGTAATTTGCCCTCATGGAGCCTGTTTGGTTGGAAAACCGAAGGGGAACCACCGAGTTTAGAGTCAACCCCACGAAAATAACATGCAAGATCCTGTATCAATAATAGTTCTGGAAGAGTCCGCCCCTCTGAGAAAAGTGTCTAAGCTGAGTCTAAACTTTGTAGGTTTCATGGAACCCCATGTGTGAAACCGAAAGTTCCAAAGGCCAGCCAAAATATGGGCCTCTCCGTATTGAGGATACTCCTTGTTGGTGGGGCTTTAAAGGCAAAAGGGCCACCGATAGCATTTTAGGGGTCCGAGTCCTAAAGAAAGACAGGCCATGATGGGTTAAGACTAGGTCTTCCAGTGGAGAGGTTAGAATAAGGGTATCGTAGGCTATTTTACTAGGGGAACCCTGTAAAAGGGCCCCTTGCTGGGGGACCTAGTTCATCAACCCACCGGTGTATTTTTGGTCCCGGTGTCCATGGGTGAAATGTGCTACTTGAGGGGAATTCCAAAAACCGCCCCCCACTCTTGGTTGCTGCAACGACCCCCCTGCGAAAAGTTCTTCACTTTTTGGGGGTTTAGTGGAAAGCTCAATAGCAGTCAAGCACTCTTGGTTGACGTTGGAAGGGGGGCAAAAATGAAAAGAAAAAGAAACTTTAGCAGTTAAGTGGTTGGATTTCAACCACTAAACCAGAACAAGCAAGAATGGAGACCCGCCCTGAGCAAAGGGTCTAAACTTTGCTAAGTTTAAGGACTTCGATGCCACTGAACCAATGTCCTTTTGGGGGGGTCACACCGGTCAGCCATGGAAACAACTCAAGCACCCAGCAGGCCAGCAGTTCGGTTCCGAGTTGCCCCCAACTCCCCCAACCCCCCCAACTCCCCCAACCCCCCCAACTCCCCAATCCCCCAACCCCCCAACCCCCCCAACCCCCCCCAACCCCCCAACCCCCCCAACCCCCCCAAACCCCCATGCGCTGAGCTTCTCCGCTTCGCCTGCACCTTGAGCTCCAAAGGCTTCAGCAGCTTCCGCCGCGCGGCTTCAGCGCCCGCCGCGGGAGCCGCCGGAGCCGCCTCGGCCTCGGCGGCTTGTTCCAGGTCCGCCATGGGCGCGTAGAGCGGCTGCAGGACGACTCCCTGTCAGCTTGGTTGCCAGGACCCCCCTGCGAACAGTTCTTCACTTTTTTGGGGGGTTTAGTACAGAAAGCCCAACTTCATTTCAACCAACAAGTTAAAGTCTAAAGATCCAACCCAATAGAATTCAAGTCAGTGGCAGTCAGGCGCCCCTCTTAAACCCTACAGTGGATGCCCTGATCCTTTTGCAAGGAAGGGAACGCAGAACCACCCGTTGGTTTGCTTGTAGGACAAGGGGCATCCACCGCCAAAGTGAAACTCAAAAGATTTGTTCACAGCAAAAAGCGAGGGGTGGATCCCCCGTGGACGAAACCATGCCAGACCATCGGTTTTTGACAGGCCAAAGGAGGTGCCAGGGGAACAAAAACAGTGGCAAACCACTTCCCAGGCAAAACCGTGGGTTCGGGCCAAAACCATGGTTCGGGCGGGCCAGCCTTAGATGTTCCTTCGGAAAGTTTTGACCAGGCCGTGCCAAATGTGCCATCCGAAAGCTCTGCAAGTAAGCAGCATCACAAGGCGAGCTCGTTTGAACTGGTGCATGGGCATTAATTATTGTCTACGAACCCTGGCTGATGCAACAAACACAAACAATTCAATGGTGAATGTGGGTAGTCTCCCCCTTCTTTGGACACAAGGGGGAGGTCGGATTGCGACCGCTTGGTTTCTTCACACAAAAAACAACACGCACGTGAGTGGGAAACAAGCATGCTCAACAAGACAGCGCGGTGCCTGGCGATGCTCCCCCAATGCATGCCGCAAAGGCTTCAAAGAGATAAAGGTGAGCTGCACTGTCTTGCTGTCTTCCCAACATGAGGGGGTTGATCAAAAGGTCCTTTACATTGAATGACCATTGAAGGATGAGGTGTCCCGGAAAATTCAGCCATGGTCATTTGGCACATCGCACTGTGGGACCAGCGGGGTCACAATCAAAACCCGGTATGAAGAAGGTCTACCCAGAACCTCGGTCCAATTTTTTGCCACGGTCCAATTTTTTGCTCTGTGGGACCAGTGGGCTTGGCAGACCCTGCTCACCGCAAACTGGTCATCTGCAAGCCTTGGGCACGGCGTTCTGGTTCCAGGACTCCTTCCTGAGCGGAATCCGCTGCGGCAAGATTGGATTGCTGGGGACTCTGCCCAAAAAAAAAAAAAAAAAAAAAAAAAAACACACAATCCAAATTTGCTTAAGCCCTCGCCGGAAAAAAGAACAACGAAAGGTTCAAAGTTCGAGTAGCGATAGAATACCTGTAAATCCAAGCGGGGGGAAGAAGCACACGTTTCCAAGCAAGCGGAAGGAATCTGCGGGGGAGAAAGCTTTACTCAGCCCACTTCGGACCCAGCAATAAACTGAAAGGTCAGATCCGGTCGATTCGCTTTGGGTGCAGTGAGTGTCGCTTTCAACTAGAACCGATGCTCCAAGATGGGGGGTCCCCTTGAGGGGACTCGGTGTGCACAAAGGAGCAAGTCTTACCGAAAGAACCCTAGGGCTCTCAACTACCCACCCCCCGAAACGTACCTACCCTCCCAACAAACATACAACCTCCACAGCACTCCCCAGAAAAGGAAATCAACATTTCAGCAAATGAGTGTGTCAACTAACCCCCCTAGTAACGTACCTACCCCGCTTGGGACTTCCCTACTGTGGATGGACGAAATCCTGCACCACTTGAAAACCACGGGAAGCCATTTCATTGTTGGCATCTACAGCGGAATCATCATCCCAGGGTTTCGTAGGTGGTGCGAAAAGGATTTCGTGCATCCATAGTACTAAGGGTCTATTGGTGGCAAAACAAATCCCTCTCCGGCACCACCCCCTCCCCCAACTTGGGGCCCATGGATTTTATGGGTCGAACGTCCATCCACAGTATTTTAGAGCAGGCGCCCCACTGGCGCATGGCGCATGCCGGGCGTCCGCCAGCTCTGATCCTCCGCCTCTAGCGCCCGGCGGATGCTCGCCAGCACCTCCTCCTCGCGGGCCTTCGCAGCGAAAAAACCCGAAGCCCGGTTTTTGAGTTTCCCTACCCCCCCGAAGCATTACACACCCTTCTTCGGTCTTTGGGACCCGGTCTCAAGACCTGGCTGTTTGGGGCCCTAAAAACCGCCAAAGACATCGAATTGGAGCCTCTGGGTACCATGTCCTCACTGAGCCTCTGGGGGTTTTGGGTCACGTAGCCAGGTGCCGGGGAATGAATTGAAACGAGCCCCAAGGAAAAATCCATTTGCTTCTTCGCCCCCTGGGAAAAATGAGAACATGTGTCCAGTGGTGAAATCGATTCCCTTTAAAACCAACAGAAAAAAAATAACAAGTATTCTTAACCAAATGGAAGCAAGAAAAAACAAACGGCCCTGCTTTCTAGAAAACCTCCGGAGACCCAGAAAAAATGGCTGGTCTTTGAAAAGAACGATGGTTGAAAAGAATGGGGAATCAACCTCAAAAGGTGATCACCTCTTGACTCGTTAAATTATGTCTGGGTCCCATGTTTTAGGCTCCATTTTGTTACTGGTGTGATCCATTTCCTCTATGGTTTCCTTTGACTCCCCTCATTCCCCACTGCGGTCAGTTGCCCAAAGGACCCAGAAAACACTAATCTTGACCCCGGATTCACATGCCTGCCACTAAAAGGGTATGATGGGGACACCGAATCAAAATGAACCAGGGGGTCTGCTCCTCATCTGGGTCAACATGACCTCCAAAAGAGATCCCTTCCACCATCCCCCCTTTCCCCCCGGCTCGCGCCTCAGCGGGGCGCCGCCACATGGCCACGTGCTTGGAGTTGGAGCCGTGACGGGGCTTCACCACCTCAACGAAGCCCAGGTGAAGGCGCCCAGAGTTGTGTGTTGACTATGGGAGTAGCTATTTGGGTAGGGGTCAACATGAAAAACCCACCAGGTCATGGAACGCAGGTTACAGTCCTTGTTTCCATTTACCGATCGGGTTCCGTTTTGGGCACCTACTTTTTGACCCACACCCATTTGGATATGGCATCCAAAAATGGGCACAGTACTATTTACTATTTTATTGCTGTACTACGGGAGTCCAACCAATCTATTTTCATATATTAATATGGGGTCGGCATTGATTGGCTGTGGGTGAAACTTACACCACCAGGTCCTGGACCGCAGGTTTTAGTCCTTGGTTCCATTTGCCTGTGTGTGCTGGGTACCCACCTTTGACCAACAACCATTTGTTTTAGGTGGACTTATTAACTCCTTTTGAGCAACTAGATGGCCCTGGATGATCAAACCAGACCAGCATCAATTTCCCACCACCGCCACACAAAATGACACCTATGTTTCCTTCTTGTCTCTCAAGGGTAGCCGCCTCCAAAACAAAGAAAGCACAAGGCGCATCCCCGTGTCCTCGATCGGATCCGCTTGGTCGCACCTGGATCTGACTTGGCCTACTTGAAGGCCGTCAAAATAGGAATCGGGCCCTGAAAATTGGAATCGCTCCTGTTGCTTCCCGTTAAAACCACCCAGACAAGAGAACCGTCCAACAGAAGCACCTGCCAGGCAAAAGCTGCCTCCCCCGACACTTGAGCTTTGGTCATGATTGGCTCGAGAACGGCCCTGGTTGAAAACGCGGTTAGATAGTCAAAAAGGCCCATACGTCAAGGGCATTCCCTCCTATGGGTTTTGGCGAGATGGAGGGTTTTGCAAATATGTCCCACCAATCTAAGCTGAAACGCAGCATATATACCCCCTTGTATACATGACCTCCATCCTCCAAAAGCCAAACCTGAACTGCCCTTGAATACGTGGGTGTTCAGCATAGAACTTTTCGTAGGACCCCCTCGCCCACCTGAAAATGTGCAAGGGACATAAACTCGCAATCCCCTAGACATGCAAGTGCAAGCATAGGCACTTCCGGAATTTCACAGTGGCATGTGTTTGAGACTCGCGCCGTAGACTCCATCTACGGCCCACCAGAAGTCCAAGTCTCGAAGGGCTCGTCCAGAGCGATCTGGCTCACGAGAAAAGAAAACGAGGTCTGAAAAGACATGTCCCTCGACGGGGAATGAGGGAAACTGACAGCCGCTGGCCTATTCATTCAGAACCTGCGGAACCATAACTTGGTGTCCTCCTTCATCCGTCATGCTCTGAAATTTCCGATGGGCACAAGGGTGGACATATGGCAATCCTGGCAAACAGTTGAATTAATCCTACCCAAAAGGAGCATGGGACAACCTTAAGAAACCAATCAATGTCACTCGACGACAGGGAGGCTGAAGATTCCTCAAAACATCTTAAAACGCTCTTTCTGAGCCACCGTTTCGGGACAGGGTTGGGCCCCTTGAACACAGTGGATCAATCTTGCTACCTCGCTTTGCCTTCCCTTTCAAGACAACTGGCGTGGTTCTAACACAGTTTGAGCCAATCAACCTGTACTCGGGGGTTCCAACAAAACGCAACTGGATCGACCGTCCGCCGTCCGCTCTTTCAACTCGCTTCCTGAGCGGAGTGTGCAGAGAAAAAACTCCAAACTTTCTATTTACCACTAAAATGGTTTTCCCAAAAAGCTTCAAGTTCAGGAACAAGGCGATGGTTGCAACCATCCCTGGCCGTGGTTGAGCACGTGCCATTTGCCAAGACAGGCTTACACCCATCGGGCTGCTCGGATAGACTTACCCCCAAACATCGGGCTCAAGTGACCATGGGCTTTTCAAAATCCAAAATTCCGTACCCCCCGTGAACATCCCAATCCCCACTAAAATAGGTTCGATTGTTTTTTTCGCTTCCTGAGTTGATTGGCCAAAAAAAGTCCAAACTTTTTGTTTACCACCAAAATGGTCTTCCCAAAAAGTATAAAGTCCATGAACTCAGGGAGTGAGAAATGGGTGGTGCACTTACCAACCAAAATGAGACCCCAAAACGGTTTTGACCACCACGGCCAAGTGACAAATCAATCCCCGAATTCTCTCCCAACCCAAAGGGTCAAAGGGTCTGTGGTCCGCTTCCTGAGTCGCTGGGCGTGGCAATCCCCGAGGTCACGGGGCTTTTTTCTGCTTTTCTGGGTCCTCCAGAGTTGAGAGCTTAGAATAAGTTGGTACCCACCTTTTTCTGTAGTCTAGTGGAACCCTCCCTTCCAACCAAAAAAGAAACGGTACAAGTTGGCACCTAGCTGGGGGATCTAGTCTTGGTGTCCCCTGGTCTCCCTTTCCCTTAGTTTCCCATAGCGCTCTTACCTTTCCCCTCGTTTCCTGCATCCCTCCTCAACGGGGGGCCTAGTTTTGACCAACCCATGACTCGCCTGGCGCCATCCGAGCATCTCCGCGCCTGTCGCCTCGCTGCTTGCAAGACCGCCTCTGCCTCCCCGGTGTCAAGCGGCAGGTGCAGCTGGCGCCCCAGCAGCCGCGCCGCGGCGGAGACCTGCGGCGCGAGACCGGGATACCCAGAGGCTGTAGGCGTGGGATGGGCTGGGGTGGGGTGGGTAGCGGGTGTGTCCTTTTTGAGGGTACATGTTTTAATGGTTTTAAACGACCCCCAAGAGGAAAACCACAGACTTGGGGGGTTGCTTAAAAAACAAATCCTACCCAAACAACTAGGAAACTGAGGGGGGGGGCTTGGGCGCGTGTGACCCGGGCCTGTTCCACCTTGTCATCCAACCATACCAGGCTGGCAGGCCGCGTCTGGTAAGAGATGCCGATGCGCTTGTTCATGACACAGCGCCAATCCTTGAAGTCTTTACCTCAGATTCAGGAGCTCCTTAAGTCCTTCCGCGTTTCAGGAGCTCCTTAAGTCCTTCCGTTTGCGTTTTCGCTAATTTGAAAAAATCAAAACATATGCCCAGTAGTGAATTTGTTATCCCTCTAAAAGGCAACAAGGGGAAATAACATGGCTCCGAAGCCCTCAGCTCCTCTACATAAAATCCCTCTTGGACCCTTCAACATGAAATCCAATTGCAGAAAAATCTGGCTTCTTGCGTCGTGAGCCATTCCATTCATTCGCGGCCGTTTATTTGAAACCCCCCTCCCAACTCCTTCTGTGAACACCCCCCCGGCCTGGGTTTGGCAATTCTCCAAGGATCCCAGACAATGATGGTGAACATACAGTTAGAAGGTACGACATCGACGCTTATGCCACACTATGGATTCTGTTTCATGTTCCAGCTGTGGATTGCTCCTTGACTCACTTCCTGAGTGGTTTACCCGAAACAAGGGTCTGAACACTTTATCTACACGATCTTCCCAGGAACTCTGGGAGTGAGTTGAAAAGTGCACAGAGTGCGACTCCGCATACCCCGCAGTGGGCAACGGAAGAACTTCCCTCCAAGGCGCCCTTGCCGCCTCTGTCCAGCACCTCGGGCAAAGACTCACATCTACAAGCCCAGTGCGCGCGGTTCATTGGGGCTTTGGAAAACCCAATGCCGCAGTTGCAACAAGTAAAAGGTGCCGTAAGAAGGAGGGCAACAAAATCAAACAGCAAACCGCAACAACCACAAAAAGCAAACGCCACAACCAAGCATGGTGGCACCAATCGGAGGCAAACACAAATCCGGAACAAGAACTCAAACTGAAAGGAAGTTAGAAGTGATGTGCCAGTGAACAACTGGGCCCAAGTGAAACAAGGGGTTAAGCCATTCGCAGGGTGCCATAAAACTACGTAAAATTGGAAACTCTGATTCCACTCAATGGGGGGGGGTGTCTGGGTTTTGTGGTGTTTCAGACCACTTTTGGTGGGAACACCCCCTATCCTTAGGACAGGTTTATTGGTCGGGGGTCAACATTACTCTACTCTCAACATGCTTGGTTGCCGTCGGCCCCTCTGCAAAAAGTGTCAACTTTTATGGGTTGAATGGAATCCAGGCCACCTTTAAAAACTAAACATATGTCCAGTAGTGATGGGCCCCCAATAGTGACAAAGTCCAACATGGAACCCGCCAAAGAGTTGAATCCGTCCTTCCCATTCCCCGCCTCCTGGAGGTACCTCAGGCCGTGCAATCAGGTGGAGCTTTCGGATCTGGGCTCAAGGGAAAACAAATGGGTTGCCGACCAGCTCAGCTCCCATTGCCTTTTTGGGTCTCAGGGGTCCCTCAATTTCCCTTTCCTTGGACCTACAAAAGTGCCAGTTGCAATGGACACCAGCAGTAAATTGCAACTGGTGAAGGGGAAATCCAGCGAGCCCTCCTACCAACATGGATCTAAAGGGTTACCCACCCATGAAACCAGGTACCACATCCACCTGCTAAACAAAATGGGGCTCCTCAAAGGATGCATCCCACAACCACCTGGATTACTAGTGGATCCTCCAAATCAGCTCCTACAGTAGACCCTCATACCAGGTGGGACCTACTCAATTCTCATGGTCGAGGGACGCCCAAAGAAGGGCCCAAACAAGGCCGCCGAAAAGAAACTCTACTGACGGTTGCGAAGTTTCATGTTGGCCCCAGATTAATAAACCCCTGTTTATTAATATGGGGGTGTCCCTGGTCTTAGTGGGCATTTATCACTTTTGGAGGGAACACCCCCCATATTAATAAGCCGGGGTTTATTAATCCACAGGGGAAGCACCATCGGGTTCTGAACGGTGTTGCGGAATGGAGTTCGTCCATCCACGGTACTACGCTCCACTTGTTCGCCCCGAGATTGTGGACGGCCCTCGGCAACCATAGGATCAATGCCCAAAAGGGTTGGCTTTGGCTTGCGCAGGACGCCGCTGTCTGGCAAGTTAACCCCACTCACAAACCCAAAACCATGCGTACGTACCCCTTGCTTGCAACATGTTTTGTGGGGACCCCAAAAAATACACCAACATAGACCCTCCCCGGAACAACGCCCCAAGCAAAACCCGGCCGTCAATCGAGCAAAAATGCGCCCGCACCATCACCCTGAAGAGCACCACAAACAGCACCCCTCAAGACACCCACCTGTCAATCTTGCGAAAATCAACCAGCCCGAGAAGGAGTTTCCCCTCACCTTCCCAAAAAGGGACCGCCCTCGGCCGTCGGCCGTGTGGCTGGCGCAGCGGAGGCGTCGCCTCGCAGGCGCCCTGCAGCGCGGCGGCTCTGGCCGCGGAGGCGCCCACGGCGAAGTCCTGGAGCTTGAAGCTCGGGGGGGGGAGGGGCTGTGGGGGGGTGGGGCTGTGGGTGGGCTGGGCTGGGCTGGGCTGGGCTGGGCTGGGCTGGGCTGGGCTGGGCTGGGCTGGGCTGGGCTGCAGTGCGGTGCGGTGCGGTGCGGTGCGGTGCGGTGCGGTGCGGTGCGGTGCGGTGCGGTGGGGTGGGGTGGGGTGGGGTGGGGTGGTGTGGGGTGGGGTGGGGTGGGGTGGGGTGGGGTGGGCTGGGCTGGGCTGGGCTGCGGTGCGGTGCGGTGGGGTGGGGTGGGGTGGGGTGGGGTGGGGTGGGCTGGGCTGGGCTGGGCTGCGGTGCGGTGCGGTGCGGTGCGGTGCGGTGCGGTGCGGTGCGGTGGGGTGGGGTGGGGTGGGGTGGGGTGGGGTGGGCTGGGGTGGGCTGGGCTGGGCTGGGCTGGGGTGCGGTGCGGTGCGGTGCGGTGCGGTGGGGTGCGGTGGGGTGGGGTGGGGTGGGGTGGGGTGGGGTGGGGTGGGGTGGGGTGGGGTAGGGTGGGCTGGGCTGGGCTGGGCTGCGGTGCGGTGCGGTGCGGTGCGGTGCGGTGCGGTGCGGTGCGGTGGGGTGGGGTGGGGTGGGGCGGGGTGGGGTGGGCTGGGCTGCGGTGCGGTGCGGTGCGGTGCGGTGCGGTGCGGTGGGGTGGGGTGGGGTGGGGTGGGGTGGGGTGGGGTGGGGTGGGGTGGGGTTGGGCTTGCGGTGCGGTGCGGTGCGGTGCGGTGCGGTGCGGTGCGGTGCGGTGCGGTGCGGTGCGGTGGGGTGGGGTGGGGTGGGGTGGGGTGGGGTGGGGTGGGGTGGGGTGGGGTGGGGTGGAGTGCGGTGCGGTGCGGTGCGGTGCGGTGGGGTGCGGTGCGGTGCGGTGCGGTGCGGTGCGGTGGGGTGGGGTGGGGTGGGGTGGGGTGGGGTGGGGTGGGGTGGGCTGGGCTGGGCTGGGCTGGGCTGGGCTGGGCTGGGCTGGGCTGCGGTGCGGTGCGGTGCGGTGCGGTGCGGTGCGGTGCGGTGCGGTGCGGTGCGGTGCGGTGGGGTGGGGTGGGGTGGGGTGGGGTGGGGTGGGGTGGGTAGGGTGGGGTGGGGTGGGGTGGGGGGGGGTGGGGGGATTGGGGTTGGGGGGGGCTTTAGGGGGCTGTGGGGGCATGGAAGCTTCACTGGGGTGGGGGGAAGATTCACTTGGGCGGGAGCCAGAAGTGATGGCGCGTTTTGTGCAGGCCCTGCAATTGAGGACCTGTTCAAGGCGATCTCGTCAACGATATCGTGTTTCGGCCTTCTCGATGGCCAGCAGGGATTCCTCATACGACATCTCCAGCACTGTACCTCTGAAAATGGATCAACAAAAACATCTTCCGATTGAGACGGCCCAGAATTTCTGGAGATGGAAAAAACCATCCGATTGAGACGGCCCAGAAGAAGGTAAGCCATCTTTTGTTTTTGCCAAAGTCCACCGTCAGATCCTCAGATTTGCAGAAAGTTAAGAGAAACTTTGGCGGGGAAAAAATCGAGGCCGCCAAACTAGGAACCGCCAGTTTAGTGGTCATCCCAGAAGTAGAAAGTCCAGAAGCTCGGGAAGTGAGGCATTGACCAGTACTTCAACCTCCGGGTGACTTCCCAGTTAGGAAAGGGGTGCTTGCTTGTTAAGCAACTTCAGCTGACTTGCTTGTTTTGGGGTCTTCTCCTTCTCCCCCCCAAAAAAATTCAAGGGCGCTGCGTCGAACAAACACTGCGCCTTTGTTGCAATTGACCTGAGAGACATGATGGGTGACGCCCTTACCTCCGTAAGTTCTTCATCCTCATGTGATAACTTACTTCCTGACCCGGTTGGCCACAAAAAGCCCAAACTGTTTGCCACTACAGCGGTCTTCTCCCCCCAAAAAAAGTCCATGAGCAGTGAGTTATATAAATATGTCCAGCCGACTGCCAAGACGACTTCAAAGGCACTCACCAGGTTTGGCAAAGCGACCCCTCCTATTTTGCCGTTTTTTTTGGCACCCTCCAGAAACCTGCGCGATTAAAAAGCCAGTCTGCCTCCCCAAAAGCAAACACATGCACATCAACAATGTCAAATGATTCAAATAATGATAGCTGTTGCCAATGCTTCTGCCAATGCTACTTTCTGTCAGTGCGCTTTTTCCGAGGAACGAACAACAGCTAGCCGGAAACAGACCATGTCTTTTTTATGTGCTCTGGAACAAGCAAGGTTTGACACTCATGTACAGGGCACCCCTTCAAGGCCAGTCCCCCCTAATAATACCAAAGCCAGACCTCACACATAATTTGCAGATGGGGCCGCAGCGTGCGTCTTTGTCCAGAGGTACCAGGCCCACATTCTTGAAAAAGGATGGTACAGTCCAACCAGTGATGATCACTAATGTGAAGCGTTGCTCAGATATGAAAAGGCTTTAGGCCCCAGCATTCCCTGGCAGGGTAACAAATACTTAAGACGACTCAAGGGAGGCAAATCAGAGGCCTCAAGCTGTTTTAGCGGTATCCCAGTTTGATCCCAAATTATTTGGGGAGGGCCCTTCACTTGTGTTCAGGCACGCACCTTCAGAATACAACACTATGACTCTCAGTCTCTCCTTGAGGTTCTTCCATTTGTTTTTGGGCCCGCCTAGAACAAATATAAACATATTCACCTTCCATTTGCAAGTGGCCCCCTGGAACAAATATAAACATATTTCTGCTGATGATAGATCCCCTTGAAAACCGACATGGGAAATAAACACACATGGACGGCTATCCACTTTCCGCCTGGCTCCGGTTCCGTGCTGCCCATGGCGAAGTTCCAAGCAACGCATCGCCACTTTGGATCAACTTGAGCCGATGCCAGTGGGAAGAACCGAAGAACCCGGCGAGCGCCAAATTGAGCCGCGATTGCACGATCTCTGCAATTTGTGTGGTATCATTTTCAGAAGCTGAATGTAGCCGAATTAAAGACTTGGATCCCCAAGCAAAGGACCTTTCTCAACAGGAACAGTCCCTTTCAGACTGAGACCAGCTCGATGGCACAAAAAACGGCTGGCATCGTACCAACCCGAGAGTTACCGCAAACAGATCCTTCCCCTTCCTGACCAGTCGTTGGGTCAATCCGATGACGGAGAAAGAAGACACGTCCCTTCCTGACCACAGCAAAGGAACTCCTTAAATGAGATAGAGAACTGTGACGCTGGGTCCATCCCTTTCTTCCCACTCACTTCTCTGCGGATTGAAGTGCCTTTAGTCTTGTTATAACATGGCGATATCTGCTTCCCCCTGCTGAAATGGCATCTGACATTGACATGGCGTTACCTCTTTCGAATGTCACCTTTCTGGGGCGAAGCCAGAGAAAAGAAAATCCAGAGGCAAACCAAACCGGCTCCACACATATATGCATATATATATATATATAGATCTTTTTGGCTTCGCTGTCGAACCCCAGATTGCCCAGAAAAGAGGAACGAGCAACAGTTTTGCAACTCAGCCAGCAGTTGTCCACCATGGCTGACGTTTCGCGTCCTTGGCCCCAGATGCGATGTCAAATTCCTCCATGAGCAGCGTCTCCTGTGGCTGTGTCTGGGGATAGCTCAACACTTGTTTTACTCAAACAGCCACAGACCCCAATCGATGTTTGCAAGTTGCTACTCAAACTCCATGTTGCCTTAAGCACATGCAGTCACCAATTTACAGTACCCCCTGCAAGGCTCAACGGAATTTGATACCCTGGAAAATGGGTGGTCTCGTTTTAGTGTCCTTTCAACCCGCCCCCCAAAAAAGGGCTCGAATAATCGCACACTAGGAACCCAAGTCCCCTTTTCGTGCTTTCCGTTGGTTTCTCTCAGGTATGGTGCTTTCGCCCCCTGGACAAAATGAGAAAACATGTCCAGTATCACTACTGGATTCCGTTTTAGAACCAACAGGGGAAAATGAAACACATTATTTTCAGCAAATGAATGCAAATTGTTCCGGGAAAACAACAACTGAGAAAACTCATCTAACACATGATCTTCAAGCCAGCTGAAGTGACATCAAGAGACCCCTGCGTTAGGATAAACATCAAAGAACTACAAGGAGTTTCCATGCTTCAATAGGGGTAAAGGCAGCAAAAACGTGTCTAGCTTCAGTATTACATACATTGAACAAGCATTTCACACGTCACAACTACATGTGTTTCTTCAAACCTGTTGGCCCCCGCTGCTTCTTGTTCATCAAGACATCTGCCTCAAAATGGGGATAGCCAACTGCAAAACCAAAGGCGATTTCAACAGAAACGGGTGGGCAAAAACTTGGCCCCTACCCTTGCGGCTCGGTTGCCTTGAAGTCCGGTTGCCCGCGTATGCTGAAGTTGGAAAAGAAAGGCAGCAAGTGATAGCAGTTGCCATGAGCGCACAAAGCCTTGCTAGGAAATAGAACGTCTGCGATGGTTTCCACTACCCCCAAACATCCCCAAACCACTAACTTGAGGGAACATCGGTGTGTATATCGTCCTCCCACTGAGGTATCACTTGTGGGAAGTTACCTGGATGATCGAGTTTCCGCGGATAGGGCCCCTGTCAGGTAGCATGCTGGCATATGCTGGTGGAAGAGAAGGAAAACCCGGCCTTTAGCTTCTGTAGTGACTGGAGAAAACCGGCAAGGAATACTGAGTGCCCAAGACATGGGTCCCCATCCAACTGAAGGTGTTGCTAAGTTAAGTTCAAGCAACCACCCACTGCTAAAAAGAAGTCACGGAGTTGTCCCCCCTGGTATACCATAAGAACGGAGTGGAACTGGGCATCCGGCAGGGGTATCCTTGAAAGCTCACGTGCCCCGCTTCCCCCTTCCCCCCTTCTCCGCACCTTGACCACCTTGAAGGTACCTCCTCCCTCCTGCGAGCGCAACTGCGGTTCTGGCACAAGTTGTCTAACACAAAGACCACCTACAGCAATAGAACCATCTACTGCCAAATGCCCAGTCGAGGCTTCGTCCTGCTTCAGTGGGACCTCAAAGTGGCCAAATTCTACCTTCCAAAACCTGCAAAAGTACCACCCTCAAACTACGAGTACACATCGGAAATTGTCCCACGAACCATTCGGCTGAATTCCCCTTTTCCGAGCGTAGTTTGAGGATCCAAGACCCGTCACACGAGCCTCTCCGAGCCCCGAATCGCTCACCCAACAGTCCATCAAAACCCAAGCGAATCCCAGACCCTCCCCCCCCCCCCCCTAATGTTGACCCCGGATTAATAAACCCCTGTTTATTTAAATATGGGGGTGTTCCCCTAACCCCGGTCTTATAGTGGGGATTTATCACTTTTGGAGGGGAACACCCCAACATTCAAATACACCGAGGAAAACTAATCCGGGGTCAACATTAGTGCGGACGTCCTTGAGGTAGTGGGTGCCCTGGTTGCCAGACAGCGTCACCCAGCCTGCCGCTCCGAGACATTTCCCCGCCGAGCGGAAGTTGAGTTACGCCTTGCCTTGCCTTGGAGTCTTGGAGTGGCCGGGGTTTTCCCTCGGAACGCCCCTGAAGGGCTTTCGGGTTCTGGGAAATTTCCCTCACAGCGCCTCTGGGGGGGGGTTTTCGGGTTCTGGGAATTTGTGTTCGGAGCGCCTCTGGGGGGTTTTCGGGTTGGAATGGTCCTTCGCGTTCACTCTCTCACTCACTTGCCCAAGCCCATTGGACCCGGACTTGAAAGGTTCACCTTTTGGCACTTCCGCTAAACTTGGCTGGAATTAGGACCCCAGCAAACAAAAATATGTTTTGCCTGGCTAGCGGAAAACAAAGGGAACACCAAAAATGCAAAAAAGTAAAAAGGGGAACTAATTCTGGGGAAGTAAAAAAATACCAAAACTGGAAAATAAGCAGATCAAAAGGTCGATTCGCTTCGGGCAACTGAGCTCAAGTTCGCACGGAACCTCTGTGGGCGCAGTCGGTTTCATGAGGGGGGGATCAGGCCCAAGAACGGCCACAGCAAGTGCACGGCTCTTAGTTGGATCCCTAAAAACATATCTGGGGTTTTGAAGCTCTTGTCGGAGTTTCCTTTGAGTTTGCCGGGGTTCGTAAAACTAGGCTGAAACTAGGACCCCAGCAAAAAAACATGTTGTTTGCCTGGTTAGCCAAAAAAAGGAACCCCAAAAAAAAAAAAGAAAAACAATGAAAAAATACAAAGAAAACGGGGAACTAATTCTAGGGAAGAAAAAGAAACAAAGGGAACCCCAAATAAGCAACAAAGAAAAGGGGAGCTAATTCTGGGGAAGAAAAATCGGCCTCTCTTTTACCGTTGGAACGTTCCCACTCCTGGTGCCTCCCGGCGTGGCACTCGCTGACTCGCACCCCGCGGCTCAGCGAAGAAGCTCCGCGCCTTCCGTGCCGTCGTTGAGAACCCGGACCTTCCTGGGCCGGGAGCATAGGCTGGAACATGAGTCACTTGCTCAAAACCATAGGTATGCGGAAAGTCACTCGCTCAGCGTCCTTCCTGGCAACTCAGGCATGTGGAAAGTTGAAGTCATCAACATCCCCAGTGTGTTGGCTTCTTTTTTTGGGGGAACATCGGATTCCAAGATCTGTTCCGCCCGTTTAACAGGGGCAGCCAAAGGACGCCACCTGAGTCACAATTCATTATCAAAACCCGGTACAAACATGGTGAACCCAGAACCATGCTTCAACAAATTAAAAAGGCGGATATCCGCAACCATTTCCGATTGGGATTGTCCCTTACTAACCTTCATCTACCCGGGTTTTGATCGTGGCTCACAGAGGCTGGAACATGGCTTTGGTACCCGTCCATTTGCTTAAGTTGCCTGGGAAACAATATATGTCCAGTAGGGATAAATGCCCTGGCTGCATCTTCCAATCACCATGTGACTGCATGCTATTCTACAGCTTCCCCCGCCTTGGGCGAGAATCTCCTTCTGACTCAACACGGGCGTCTCGAAAAAAAACATTTGTGGGTTTGCACCATCCAACAAATAATGTTCACGATGTTTAAGGCGTGAGCTGACTCTTACATCCCAGCCAGCATGCCTAGCCGACTTTTCCAACCTTCCGCTCGCAGTCTTCCAATAGAAGTAAAATTCCAGGCTCTATGTGGATCCAACATTGCTAAACCCTGGTGGATCAATAGGGCATCCCATTTTGAGGATCCTTCACTTTTTTTTTTTGGGGGGGGGACAAACAAGACACCAACCACACGTAGTCCAAAGGACCCAGGAAAAAGAGTTGCACCTTTTGGGGCCATGACCAAACATGGGATAACCCAAGAAGGAAGTCAAACCGGGTGGAGGGTCTCCGATTCCATCTATCTGGCCTTCCCTACTGTGGATGGACGAAATTCTGCACCACTTTGAAACCACCGCACACCATTGTTGGTTGATGGTGGTTGGTATTTACAGGGGAATTGTTAATCCGGGAATCCGGGGTTGAGCAGGTGGTGCAGGATTTCGTCCACCCAACGTATGGAACCATAAATGGAATTCCAGGGGTGGACATACCCCCTCCCCGAATTCGACGGGATGTTCCGGGGGTGGGGATGGCAAATCCAGCGGGTGTCCGGAACCCAAGAGGAAGTCGTTGCAAAATCATACAACCCCAATACTTCCAGTTGCCACTGTACTATAGATAACCAGGGAAACCACCATGACACACTTCCATTTGCTTTTTCGCCCCTGGAACAAACACAGAAAACATGTCCAGTAGTGAAATCGATTCCCTTTACAACCAATAGACATAACATAACAAATATTTACTGAAACGCAAATGGAAGAAAACCTACTAGGTCCTCCAGTAGAGGGGGCAACCTTCCCCACCAAAAAGGGT